TCGTTTCGCGTCCAAGAACCAGAGGACGTAGAGGAAAATCGCAGAGGGACAAGAGAGTGTGATCATCATGTTGATCAATTTGTTTTTCAAAGTTATGGTTTGTGAAATTGAACTGTTAATTTCTATTGCTAGCTTCTTTTGGTTAATCTTTGAAATTATGTTCAGAGCTGCGAGAGATTTTTTTTTTGGTCAATTGCAGAAGAATGGTTCGGCGCATACCATATTTATTAACAATTATAAATTACGTGAATTAGTAATAACTGAAAACAGTAGCTTGTTTTATCTTCACTCTATCAACTTTAATAAGAATAAAAAGGAATTTTTGTTGTAATGTGTATATTTTGCCTGAACATTCAAAGAGATTAGAGACTCTAAATCATTATGTTGTTAGGTGAAACCGCGTTTGAATATACGGTCTTAATTTGACTAACAAAACATGTTAAACTCCCTAATTAAAATAATAATAATTACATAATACAGGGAACAAACCGAAAGAAATGTTGTCCTGTCAATGTTTTGGCCAAATAATATGGAGAACTGACAAAGTTTAATACCTTTTTTTGCTTTCTTTTTTTTTTTGTCAAAACAAAGTTAATGCTTTGAATGTGCGAATAATTTGTTGGAGGCATCGACCCACACGATGTTGCCATCCGCAAGTTATCAATCATTTTAGTGTATGGCTTGGAGTATCAGTACATCCCGCGAAGTGGCTCCTTATTGTGCCCTAATGGTATTGACATGGCGTGCCTCCTTCTTGCCAGACTCCTCATCATGCTGATTCTTCTTTAGGTCAGGGTTGACTTCTTCGTCATGCTGCGACTCCAACCAGCTCATGAGCGTAGCAATCAGCATGTCCTTCTCCTCAATAGTCCTGGTCAGCTTTGCAATTGCCTCGTTCATCTGTGCGAGTTGTTCTTCGATGGAGGTGGCACCAATGGTCATAACCTGCGCAGCTAAAGGATTTTACTCTTTAGCGGACATCAAGGGTGTTGGCGAAGTCTTCATGTGATGGTTGCTGGTTGGCGGTCCATGGTAAGATCCTGCGCTTGAGTCCGCATCTGAAGCCGGTGACAAGGAGCACTCCCTCAAGTTCTTTGAAGATAGAGAATCCCTCGCCGCTTTGGGATGTCATATTGCGTGCCACGATAGCATGCTTCGATGCCCCTAGCGAGGCTAGGTTGATGACAAGAGTGCATCTCTGACGCTTCCCTTGTTACTTGAGCGGCACCAACTTGGAAGTGGCACGTTGAATGGTCACCACCTTTGCTTTGCTTCGAGTCAGGATGCCGAAAGATTCTCCACTTGTAGCGGAAGTGTTGATGCTTCTTCCCTTGGTTGTGAAAGCAACTTGATCATTCTTCAATGCCATTGATTTTGAAGTGTGTTTGGATTTCTTGAAAGGAGAAAGAGATAAGAGGCAGAGATTGTCCCATTGAGCATGCCAAATTTGTAAAGACAAAAATCCTGTAGCAAATAATAAGAGAACATGTGTACAAAGAATATTTGTATTAATGTAATTATAAGGTTACAATCTCTTTACAACTGGATCCTCTGATTCGATCTCCAAAATGTAAGGTGTGCAGTGTTGTTGATTCAAGGTCGCGACGACTTGATCTTGGATGAACGGATGCCGCAAGGTTTTGGCTCTTGGCAATGGAAGAATCGACAGGTGTGGGGGTGTTTGGTGGTTCTTCACGGTTTTTACGAAGAATGCGAAGGGTTTTCCGAGTCTTCTTGAGTGTTTGAGTGTTTGAGGGGTTTGAGCGCTTGAGAGTTTCAGAGTTTCAATGTTTCAGTGTTTGGGCGTGAATGATTTTCTAGCCCTTTCTTTGTCTTGGAGTTTCGTATTTATAAACTCTCCAAGCCTTGCATGCAGATGGATTTGCCCTTCATTGTGGGCTTGATTAATTGACGAAAGAACCATGACCCGATTTGTGGGCTAGTTCGTGATTTATCTCCACCAATTAATATTTGATTTAATTAAATTAATATCAAATTATTTGTTTCTGCCAAGTGTTGACACGTGTTCTTTTTTATGACTCGTTCAATTTTGATGAGTCGCATCAATGTGTATGATTTATGCAACACATCGCATATGCCACATACACCATGACATGTCTAAACTTTAATGTGTTGGTGAATATTTATTTCACCGAAATTCAATGTCTACAAGTTAAGTTTGGATTTTAGGCTTTGACTCTCTTCATGGTGAATCTAGTTTTCATAATACTAGAAAACACATTTGAAGACTAGTTCATGAGCTTCCATAAGGTAATAAATCTCTTAAATTTTGCATTGACACAAAAAGGAAAAAATTGGAAAAAAAAAAAAAATCAAACTTGGTGCTAACCTTTACATAATTAACTTAGCATTTGCAGATGTCGTAATATTGCGGTGGTAGAAAGCAATTATGCGTATGCATTTTGGTGTGAGTTGGATATCCACCAAGTCTCCTCACCTCTAACAACTCACTATTTAAATCACCACAGCGATCGCTCTACTAAAAAAAAACTAAGCAATATTAAAATGCAATATGATTTTTAACTGGAGAAAGCCAAGACCCAACCTGTGATGCTGCATCCATGGTAACAGACAAGGAGAGAGACGAAGGGTTGGTCCGCCTTGTTAATAAAAAAAACCATTTTATTTAATTGTAGAATTAATTATAATCATCCACCACTATAAGAAAAAACTATGATAATTTTCAAATAATTGTTTGATTGAACAGTGTATTATTCTAATCCAGAGACACTAATTCTTCCTCCTTGTTCATCGGTTTTGCACTGTTTCTCCTCATTACAATCAAACCATTTTCACAGATCTCTTCCCTCTCCTATTCCCCCCACCCTTTTGATTCTCTTTCGTCTCTACAGTTCCTAGATCATAATTCTATGTTAACAACTTTTTGGCTTGCTACATGTACAACTTTGTCACGTGTGTATTTTTCGGCCCGATCAAGATGCTTAATTGTTTTACTAATTACATGTAAGTTGGTGGAAATTAGTCGAAGATTTTGGTCAAGTTAACTGAGGTGAGTAATTTTGCAAGCCGGAAAGCAGGTGAGTTCGATTAAAATTATAAGACCTTATTGTGTAGGTGGGATTGGAAAAAAAAGTCGCATATGTTGGCATGGTTAAGAGTTTAATTACCATATGGGGCGACGTCGGCCTAAGATAAAACGATGATGAAGGAATTTAATTATCGGGTTTTAAGACTAATCAAGTTTTCGATCATCTGCCTCTTCATTCTTGTGCCATCCACTTCTGCAGATGAAGGTAAGCATACAAATGAAATTCATGGTCATCATTAAGAGATTAACATCGTAATTAAGGTTTTCAGATTTTGTACATATTCTATATTTGTATTTTAATAACTTTAGTCCGTATTTAATCCTGCGAGACTCAATTCCAAACCTTCTGATATGATCAAGAAATTAGGTAGAAAGAAAATGAGTCAACTCTTGTAGTAGATAGCTTGTTCTCATGTCATAATATTGGAGATCAATGACCTAACATTATGCAACGGCAGATCTTTTCGAAGATGTGAAACAAGGGTTTTCGAAATTTAGTCACATATATTTCGATTGTTCCTAACATGTTCCTAACAAGAATTAATGCAGTATCTGCTTTGTTATGCAGGCAGATTAGTGAGCATTGCGTGCTGCGGGGAATCGAATTACACGGATAGCAGAAACATTAGTTGGATATCGGACTATGATCAGTTTCCTAATACCACAAGCTGTTACACAAGAGCTCAGTCAGAGGCAGACTATTCCGGTTACAACAGAAGTAGAGTATTTTACCAGAATTCGGGCCAGAAAAGATGTTACAAGCTATCAACAGAGAAGGATGAAGACTATCTGATTAGGGCTACATTTCTATTTGGACACATTTGGGGCTCTAGTTTTTCGGTTTCAGTTGGTGTGACCCCGATTGCTATCGTAGATTCGTCGGAGGACTTGTCAGTGGTTGAAGGGATTTTTCGAGCCACTGAGGATGACACATATCTGTGTTTGGTGTATGACAAGGGAGCTCCTTATATTTCAGAGCTTGAGCTGAGGCTTCTGCAGGATTTGAAATACTATTTAGAGAACTTCCCTTCAAGTGTTCTGAAATTGGTTACAAGAAATAGTTTTGAAATTACAAAAGATGATATCAGGTATGCTTTCTTCAAAACCAAGGAACAAGGATGTTAGCTTACAAACAAAGTGTAATTAAACAAAGTATTGTAAATGGAAACGACGATTATCTCTTCTTAACTCACAGAATTCAATCATCGAAACTCAAATACACATCTTAATTTATGTGACAAACGGCGAAAATTTAAATTGGAATGCAAAGGATAAAACACACTGCTTTAACTAATTTTGTTAAACCCATATTTGCAGACCTGATATGCAAAAGGAAGTAGTATTTAAAATTATGCCAAACTTAAGTAGAGAAACCCACATGTGAACTTATGTATATTGTCCAATCCAATGCAGTTTTGCTCTCACTTTGTAGTGGTGGCTCGTGACATGTGACATTGTAACATGTATCTAGAAATGAGGAATATTGTAATAGTAACAAAATGAACAATGACGTGTGGAAATCGTACTTTTTATGTATTATAGAAGCATAAATATTACCCTAACAAATTACAATGTTTTGCCAATGATTATTAGACACTCACCACCCACTACTTCTTCAACACTCAATTAACTTCTACGACCATGTAAAAACAAAAAAATAAATAAAATTGTTATACCACATTAATTACACTGTGTTGCTAAAGATTATTAGACACTCACTACCCACCCCTTCTTCAACACTCAATTAACTTCTACAACATGTAAAAATACAAAAATTTAAATAAAATTGTTAAACCACGTTATTGTGATGAAATGAGTCACATGTCACATACATTGCATGATATTTATGAATTATATATCATTACATTAGTAAATGATGTAGTATGAAAGTCTTAAAGAACTTTTTTTCACAATTAAAAGCTGAAAATCATATGAGCAAATGTGAGTTAGGTGTGTTTATCGGGACAATAGTTTCTTCTCATTGCAACCGAGTTCCGCCACCTTTTTCATATAACAATGCATTGCTAAACCGAAATGTAATTAACCTCCACCGTGCATTGGTCTCACTACCCATTCCAATGACATGACTATGAATTCGGTTGGTCATTTTCAGGTATCCAAATGACACAAGTGACAGGATATGGAAGTCAAATTCAGGTGCCGACCCAGGAAGCGGAACATATCACATATCACAACCCAACGTCTCCATTTCCGGCAACGCCACCGCGTCTCCGCCTCTGCAAGTCCTGCAAACAGCTCTAGCGGCTCCAGACAGTTTGCGTTTTCTCCACAATGGCCTCCCCACAGAAAGTTACCTGTACCTCGTGTTCCTCTACTTCTACGAGGTCGATCGGGCGGTCCAAACCGGGCAAAGGGTGTTCGATATTTTCCTCAACGATGAGATGAAAGAAGGGAGATTTGACGTCTCGGGAAATGGGTCCAATTACAAGGAGCTTGCTTTCACTGTCATGACAAATGGGTCCCTGAATTTGACTCTGGTTAAGGTCTCCGGGTCGGAAAATGGACCCATTTGCAATGCTTATGAGATCTTGCAGGTGCACCCATGGCGTCCAGAGACTACTAAAAGCGATGGTAAGTTGGGTTTTTTTTTTCACTGGATTTTGTAGTTTCCAATTGGGTGTTTGTAGTAATTAACTGGGTTTTATACAGTGGAAGTGATTTTGGAGGTGAAGAATGAGTTGCTGAAGAATAACCAAGAGAGTGAAGTTTGGGAGGGTTGGGCTGGAGACCCGTGTCTACCAGTTCCATGGGATGGTATTACTTGTGAATCCATTGATGGGTACTGTATCATTACTGAACTGTAAGTTATTTGTTTCCATTTTCTTAGAAGTTCTGCAAATGGCTTTCATGGAATCATTAGAATATGGTCTTTGTAGTAAATTATACTAGTTTTCAGTGCTGTGGGATACTTTGGGAGCGAAGTTTTATCCCTTTTTTTTTTTACTAAAATGTATTGTTAAAGACCTTAAATCCACAACTCCTTGTGGAAGAAGTTGAAAACCATAATAATATAACAGCATAGAATATTTGATAATAATGTTTTTAGGTTTTTGTTAAATTAGTAAAAAAGATTTGATTGCAAAGTAGGGAAAAGAAGATAGTGATCAGATTTGGTTGGAAATTGATTATTGATTAGATTAATTGCTTTTGCGCATTTCGTTTTTAACTTTCCTTAGTTTTACGAATTTCAGGGATCTTTCGTCAGGCATTCAGAGGGGGTTTGATCATAAAAGCTTTCTTAAAGGGCCAGTTCCTTCAAGTATCACTAAGCTGAGCCACCTAAAAGTCCTGTATGTTTGAAGCACCGTTCTATTTGGGCTTTCTCATGTTTCACTTGACTGAGTAACTGTACTCTAATTTCAATCCATTGCTCTCTTTTGTTTGTGATATGTAGGAACCTCAGCCACAATGACTTTACTGGCAACATTCCAGCATTTCTTCCTTCCTCCCTGCTGACCTCAGTGTAAATTTTTCCTTCACATTCAGTTTTGAAATGATGGCAGTTTCAGTTGGTGATTTAATAAATAGTTATCCAACTCCACCAATGGAATACTAACATTTGGAATAGAGATTCTAAAGATTGTGAACAGCCTGCATCGCTTAGGTGGAATCATTTAAGGCCATCATGTGATATATAGGAAAGGCCTCCATACGTTACTTACTACCGTTGCTTACTACCATTGTATAATCCCCAAATATTGCATGATACGAACCAATGATGTTAAGTGTCCTAGACTGACTTAATCCATAAATGTGGCCTTGAGCTGTAGGAAAGTGTCCTTTCTTACACGGATCAACTGTGGCATATCTGTGCTGGGCATCCTTAGGAAGATAACACCCCAGATATTGTGCTGATACTAAATTTACAAGGACATTCACAGATTTCAAACTTGTATATTTGCATGAAAACATACCATATTAAAATTCTAAAATATCTACTAGAATTTGTGGAAGTAAAAAAGTTGTTATTTTTTGCACTTTCCTTTTTTTATACTTGAATCGTCAAGTCACAGTTTTTGTTTTTTTTTGGCACTCTCTATTGGGGATAATGTGATCTGCTGAATATGATGACTGGCCTTTGATACTTGATCTTCTGATTCTATAGTTTAGCCTAAAAAAGTTGTTAAAACTAGCTCCTCAATTGAACTGTTTACCTTTGAAGGTTTCAAAAATTCTTCATGTACTTCTCTTCAATTTTAAGTATTCTGAACGGACCTAATTCTGTCTGACTCATTTTTTTATTGATTACCTTCATATCATCAGGGATCTGAGCTTCAATGACCTTTGGGGGTCACTTCCATTATCTCTTATCTCACTGCCACATTTGGATATACTGTAAGCGCTTCTATATTCTTTGTCACATACGAGTCTAGCTACATAACATTAGACATGCCTCCATAAATTCATCTCCATGTGGTTCATCAACAGAAATATCAGGTGCAACCCTCATGTTGCAAAAGATATTCCCTCCAGTTTCAATGGCTCAAAACTTACCACAGGGTACGATTTTTATTTTCCATGCATCCAAATGAAATTTTTGGATTGAAGAATAAATAAAACTAAAAGTATTTGAAAAAATCTGAAATTTGTATCTCTATAATACAGCCAAGAAAGTTGCAATGCTCAAGAAGCTTCTAAACAACGAATCATCATTGGTGCTGCTGCTGCATCTGGGTCTGTACTACTAACCATTGTAGTTGGGATAATTTTCTGCATTTGGAGACAAAACTTTCTACCTCAAGGAAATTTTGATATAAAAAGACATCATATGACAAAGAGTGAGTGCATTAGATGCTTAATTATTCTTGGTATCGCACTTATACTTCTAGGCTATGTTTGGGTGAGGGACATGGGATTCAAAGCCAAATTATAAAGAAAGGAATCACAAAATGTTGGGGGAGTAGGCAATGCACCATAGAGCATTACAAAGGCATGTAAGAGGGCTTTGCAAATGACATCCTCCTAGGAGCAATTAGCTAATCCCTCTCATATGCCTTTGTAATGCTCATATGATGCATTTCCTAATCCCTCTCTATGCCTTTGTAATGCTCATATGATGCATTTCCTAATCCCTCCTATCCAGCATTTTGTGATTTTTTTCCCTTATAATTTGGATTTCAATCCCATGACTCTGAAATCCCTTACCCAAACATGTCCCTAACATTTCCACCACAATAAAAGGAATTAAAAAAATTTTGCTTTATAATAGTTCTTGCAGTTTTTAAGGTTAAACTAACACAAGTTACATGAAATTTATCGTGGACTTGATAACTAGTTTGTAAATAACATTTGCGCATAATTAAAATAAATGCTTTTAATCATACATTGTATTCAAATTGTATTACCAATGTGAAATTTCAGATAGATCTTGGAACGAAAAATCCTATTTAATTTTCTTTTACAATAATTTTTAGTATGATCACACCTTTAATGCATACAGTATAGATAATTTGAGTTTTCAACATGTCTATGTAAACTTGTCATTTGTCCGAAGGTTACAAACTTTCTCTAGCTTGTTTTGGGACATGATTTTGCAAGTTAATCTGGAACCTACTTAGACATCAAGTGTCGATATGACTGTTCTGTTATAGCTTGTAGAGTAGTTACAATGAAAATACAAGGATACGATTAACATGTGTTTAACTCATCAACTGTAGTTATGACTGTTCTGCAGCAGATTGACATATCCTTGTACGTTCAGTAAAGGAAAAATATGGGTCTGTTTATTATCTGCAAATTGAAGATGTTTTTCACGGTCAGGCTAGTTGAGGCACTTGTGGAGATTGTATTTTGCTTTTTTAAATATGCAGCCTCTGAATATAGAAATCCTCAAACTGCAGATTTAATTTTCTCGTTACCAAGCATGGACGATCTGGTTATGAAGTCAATATCCATAGAGACATTTACTCTTGAGTACATAGAGGCTGCTACCCAAAGGTACAAAACCTTGATAGGTGAAGGAGGTTTTGGGTCTGTTTACCGTGGCACTTTAATTGATGGTCAGGAAGTGGCCGTAAAGGTTCGGTCAGCAACATCAACCCAAGGAACTCGGGAATTTGAGAATGAGGTTAGATACTCTATTTTTATTTTGAGCATTTCCAGTTACAGCTTTCGGTAATTTTATGGAACAGTCCTCCAGTTATCTACCATTTGAGCATGGTAATAGTGTTCTTTGATAACTTGAATATCATTGTGTCTCTTCATTCTTTGAAAATATGAGAGTGACAGTACTGAGGGTGGGGTAAACACTTTGGGCGTGGTAATACCGTTACTCTTTGATAACGACCATAATAGGGGACTATTCATGTTTATATAAGAAATCATTTCTTTTCAACATTAAATTCCCATCTGTACCTAGTGTCTCGTTTTCTTATCGCCATAACCAACTGTCATTTGTGACTTTAATATGCCTTAAAATGTAAATGATAATTCTTTTAATGTTCTTTACAGTTAAATCTTCTGTCAGCTATACGCCATGAGAACCTCGTTCCCCTTCTCGGTTATTGTTGTGAGAATGACCAAGAAATTCTGGTTTATCCATTTATGTCCAACGGCTCTTTACAGGATCGTCTCTATGGTACTGGCTGAGTCACTGTTTCTTTCGATTCCTACCTTTCAATGTCATTTTTATTAATACTGAAACCAAATATTAACAGGGGAAGCAGCAAAAAGAAAAATTCTGGACTGGCCAACCAGACTGTCAATTACTCTTGGTGCTGCTCGAGGCAAGTGATACAGAATTTTCTATATTATTAGCATATTCGGCCTTGGAAAATGTCCCCCAAGATCTCAAAAGATCACATCAACTATAGCTTAAGTATACGTTTGAACATATACAAACCATGACATTCTGGTATTTGACACATCTTCACAAATTAATTATTGGACCTTGGCAGATGCAGTTTCTTGTCCATTTAACCTTTTGCACAACCTCTGTCAATCATGACCGGTGATTTTACTTTAATTGGTCAATCTAACGGCTGCAAAACAAGAGGTGTATATGAGATGAGAAAGTTGTGTAAATAGCATTTCCCTGGATATATTCCCATGGATTGGCACTTGTTATCAGGGGACCTTCATAAATTGGAGGACCTGAAAGTTGGCAACTCATCTTGTGCTTTAAGATTTTGGTCTGGCTTCAGTAAAGTTCCATTTAATAGCATTTTATGTTTGTGGCATACCTACTTTAAATTTTCCTCATGTTATAACCTCATATTCTGGTTGTTTTGTTGATTTCACAATCTTATCCCTTGAGCATTTGGAATATCAGAATCTCTGATGAGTGCTTTTATTGTTCAGGTTTGACGCATCTTCACAATTTTGCTGGTCGTTGCATTATACATAGGGATGTGAAATCAAGTAATATACTTTTGGATGATAGCATGACTGCCAAGGTGGCAGACTTCGGTTTTTCAAAATACGCTCCTCAAGAAGGTGACAGTTGTGCTTCTCTGGAAGTAAGAGGGACGGCGGGATACTTGGATCCGGAGTAAGATTGCTTCGTCAACTTATACCTTTGGATTTTTAAATTTTCTTGGGCCTTTAAATTTTAGTTTGGTTTATAATTATATTCACAATTGGTGTGGACTATTGATATGTCGAACTACAAGAACACTGAAATATCAATTAAGGTAGGACAGAATGAAAATGAAAGATGATAGAAACAAAAGAAGGGAGGTTGTCGAGGGAAAACAGAGAGAGAGAGAAAGAGAGAAATGAAAATTCAAAGAGAAAATTGAAATAGATAAAAATAAGGTATCCTCAAATCTATATACCAGAACATGAAATCATATAATATTACGGTCCGTTTATCATATGGATGCAATACGAAGTGATATGACTCTTAAAGTGCTTGGGAATTAATCTAACAATTCAATGGAGAAAACCCCTACACAAAAAAAATTAAAATAAAATCTTAGATATGAATCCAGAAAACTTCTGAGCTCACATCTGCTACAAAATAAATCTTGTTTCTTTTATTATATAAGTAACCACTGTACTCTTGATGAATGTAGCACATGGACAATTCAGGAACCTTTGAAGATAATAACTGCTAAATATGCTCCTAGCTTTTGCGCATTGAAGTTTTCATGTAGTGCAAGAAGAAAATTAAGCCACAGAAAATATTTACCAGAACCTGATAATGTCAATCTTCTATTATTCAGGTACTACATGACCCATCATCTATCAGCAAAAAGTGATGTTTTTAGCTTTGGTATCGTTCTGCTTGAAATTGTAAGCGGTCGGGAACCTCTGAACATACACAGGCCACGCCCCGAGTGGAGCTTGGTTGAATGGGTATGTTTAATCATGTTTTATGACTCCAGAGACTCTTGATCCATTTAATGTTCCTAACCTAGATGTTTTGCTTAAAGCTCAATGACCTTTTGCATCAGTATACACTTTCAGACTGGCCGAAAACTTTTCTTTTCTATCTCCTCTGGAGATTAATTATCATTGTGAAGCTTCTGAAGAAAGTGAAAACTAACAAAGAGAACTTTTCATGCAGGCAAAATCCTATGTAAGGGAATCAAAGATTGATGAAATTGTTGACCCGAACATAAAAGGAGCGTACCATGCGGAGGCCATGTGGAGAGTAGTGGAGGTTGCATTGTCATGTATTGAGCCCTTTGCCGCTTCACGGCCAAACATGATTGAAGTCGTAAGGGAGCTAGAGGATGCTCTGATTATAGAGAACAATGCATCAGAGTACATGAGATCCATAGAGAGCTCGGGATCCAATCGCTTTTCTTCCATGGTGATGGAGAGAAGGATTCCGCCACCCACTCCTTCAGAACCTTCATCTATTTTGTCACAAATGGCTCCTCCAGAGCCAAGATAGTGAATGGTTTTATGAGATTTTCATCCGTTTGTGAATGATTTGTTTTGTTGCTTGGCATAAGTGATTAGGGAGAAAATTAGAGTAATTTCCAAATGCTCTTTTTGAAATTTTGCAACTTCTTGTGTAATATATTTTGCTTATCCTTTAACATTCAAGTAACCTACACAACGCTAATATATTTTGCTACCAAAACCATTGCCATTGTCGATTTATACCTAGCAAGTCGTCTTTGAAATGAGAAATTCTTTGGTCTGGATGTCCGTACATGGATGCCAATAGCAAAAGGGCCGGTGGGCACAAAACATAAGAATGAAGTGTTTTGTGTGTGGTATGGTCGTCCAGACCAAGAATTTCTCTTATCACGGAAAAATAAAGAAAGAAAAGAAACCGCGCATGCAATTACTAGCAAGCCTACATATTAAATCTTTTATTATGGCTTATTACCTTGCAAGGTAAGCCCCTAAGCTTAGAGTAACCCCCCAATGCATACCTTGTATCCACTGGGCGACTGCTGATACTTCGGTAAGTCTATCCTGTAGTCAAGTCTTAATGAGCGTCATCGGTCAATGTAGTTACATTTCTTCAATTCTTTGTGTTTGTGAATTCTATCATGCTCACTATGCAACGGTTGTTATAGAAGCTATTCAATCGAACTCATTCCCTCGTAGTGAACAAACGAACTGTTTCACAAGCTGGTCACCTTTTGTGCCAGCATTGTAAAGGTTTTGACGAAATGGGCAACATGTTTTGGGTTGCTTTTTTAATCTGAATGCATTGTACCTATGAGATTGGTATCCGGGTGACAACGGCAAGCAGTCAACCCTCTTGGTATATGGTTAAGAGTACATAAGAATATCCCAGTGTAGCTCCATAATTTGCTCAAATGGTGGTTGTGATCGTATCTTGAAGTTGTTGCACAAAGAAGGTTCACACTGAAGGGGATTCAAACTTCGCCTTTGGTTTCCCTCCGGATTCTTTCTCATGGTGTGAACTCTTCGATATGTTGTGACTCTAGTCTGTTCATGAGTGAAAAGATATGCATGTCCTTATCGTCGACGACTTTTGCTAGCATTGCAATCTTCTCATTCATATGGACTAGTTTTTCTTCAAGAGAAGTCGCCTTCCATTAAAAAAAAGTGTCCCGCGAAGAAAATAAAAGATTCTAAGCAGAGCGTGTTCTCTTTTAAGCGTATATCGAAAAAAAATAACCTCTGGACGAACAAAAATATTTCTTTACCTCAAACATAAAAGCAGAAGAAATGAATAGATTGATTTAGAACTGAGTTACAAGGCGAGGAAATATGTTCACGTCCACACTATAGACAAGAGGATGCTTACAGGAACGCCGTGTATACTATCGTCTATAACAATGGCATGATCCGCTAAGCATCACGAGCAAAAAGCGAAGGGTTGGCCGATGCAGTACCCACTTGAACTTCAAGAAGTTCTAGCTTACGTTCCAATACATCAAGCTTCTCGTTCAATGATGCCAATTTGCTCTTTGTCGTAGCCTCTTAAATAACAAGAAAAACACAAATTAGTCCAGCAATGTAATTCAACCCACATCCGAAAAGAAGAGAAATTTCCTTTTTCTTCTAAAATGCATTTCAAACCAAAACGGTGTGCAAAAATCATTGCCCAACGTAATAAACGATTGCACTAAAGTCGAGAAAGTAGTTGTTCAAACAATGCACGAAAGGAGAGATTCAAGTAGGGCTGCAAGAAGAAGGGTTGAGTCAGGCAAAAGCCCCCTGCCTGAACAAGCTGATTAACAATGCCACATTCTTTTAATTTCGGACATCAAAATCAACCCGGCTCATGTTAACTCTCATTTCTAATCACTTAGATATCGAAAATTGGGTAAATTAGAACCAAATCTTGGGCACAATCGGGTGCAATTGTAGCTACGGTTCAAGTTAATATGCAATGAAAACAAATTGGACATCTTTGAGAGTTTAAAATCAGCCCTAAATCTCAAAAATCAGAGAAACCCTAATCAGCAAATTGACCAAGGCTATCAACTTGATTGAGAAAAGACTCCAAATCTCAGATGGGTCAGCACAAAATTCAGCAATAACCATGAAGGCAACAGAAGTAAGTCGACCTAAAGAACAAAGGGGAGGCAAGGGAAGGGGGTTGAAATTACCGAATTGGACAAGGAAATCGAAGAGGCGGCGAACGTTGAGAGAAATGTGGGAGATGAACTCGCGGTTTTCCCAATCAGCTTGGACCGCTATCCCTACATTCACTGCATTTGTTATCCCTCCTGCCCGCGCCATCCTTTGCCTTTGATCTCTCTCTCCCCCTCTCTCTCTCTCCCTCCTCACATACCAGGGAGATCAACGATCCAACAAACTTGATACAAAATTGATTATTTCTTTAATCTACTATACTACTAGGGAAAGCAAAGCAGCTTCTTGTGGGTTGGGTGCATTTATGAAGCCTTTAAGTCGTTGGTCTGTCATTGGAGTTAAAACTGTTTTCTTTTTCCTTTCTCTCTCCCTTAGAAAGTAAAACTTTTATAAGAGCAACTCCACCGTAGGTGGATGCTCGGGGGCAGGCCAGAGAAAAGGGCCTGAGGTCTGTGGACCGATTCCAGCGTGAAGGAGCCTAAATGGAGGTGGAGGTTAAAGTTTCGGGCCCGTGAATAATTGCCAGTTGGAGAGTCCGAGTGGATGTGACGCCAAGGCTGACGTCAGCCTGGCGTCAGGCCTTTTTTAATTTTTTTTCTATCAGGCGTGTGCACCTACGGTCCGTTTGATCTCAACGGCTCTTTAACTTGGATCGTTCGATCTCAACAGTAAAAAAAAATGATAAAAAGTCTTATTTAATATCCACTGTTCAATCTGAGATCAACGGTCAATATTAATATGCTTTATAAATAAATAAATAAAAGAAAAAATAGTTTTAAAATTAAGAAAAGTTACCGTTGTGACACGTGGCACAATCTAGAGTGTTGAAATTCAAATTTTTTTATGTCCAACGGCAGAGATTAATTAGTTGAATAAAAATTTTAAAAAAAATTGTAAAAAATTCGAAAAAAAATCTGAAATTTTTTTTTTTAAAAAAATTGTTTTTACTTTTCTATAAATACCTTCTCATTATCATTTACCTTACACTACAATTTCATATTTTCTTATCGGAAATCCATTCCCAATAATTGTCTTTTTGAATTTTATGACAAGTGGCGCAACGAGAACGATTAAAAATCTTATCCGAAATTACAATTAAAATTATTTGTATTATTTTATAAATAAATAAAATACTAATATTTTATTACCTATTATCAGGGCTATTAAAGTGTAACGGTGGAGATGCAAAAGGCGATTACTGTTCATTAAAGGCAGTTACTATTCACCAAGTGGATTGAATAGTGAATAGCTTGGAGGGAGGGCTTCAACGCTGGAGTTGCTCTAAGGGATTTTATCTCAAACGGTTCTGAATTAACTTCCTTCTTCAGGATGATCTCTAAAATTAGCATGGTCTTGCTACTTAGTACTACAACCTAGTAATATTTTTCTTATTTTGTAAGTGAAAGGTCTTAGATTCAATTCTCGTCAAAAACGAATTGAACTACATTATTGTTAGCACATTATGATGCTTAGCTCATCCTCACCCCCATTGTGTAGATAATATCGTTTGTTAAAAGACAAATAAATGTGATCCTTCTATTATGTTTGATCAAAATTTTTATTAGTAGGTGACGGGACACACATGTAAATTCTACGTATTCACTGAGTAGTGCCGCATGGATTGAAAAATAAAAAGTTAATTGAATTTAAATTTGAAAATAATGAGTAATAACAAACAAGTAGAAAGAAAATTAACAATGAATAATACAAAATAAATCAATAAAGAAACGAAAGAAGAATATACATCTTTATCATTTACTGAGTAATCCTTGAGAACTATGATGGCTTCTTGACCAATTTTGTTGCCATCTCCTCAACCCAAAGCTATCATCTTCCACACCCAATTACTCTAAGCCATTTGCACCCCACTCCTGACACCACTGTATTGTGAATCCCATATAAAACTCAAATCTCAGTCCTTATTCAACCTTAACCGATACACAAAAATGGAGAGTGGAATGAAAAGAGGAAGGCGGATATATTTTGTGTGTTTAATTTATTTTGTAAAATATGTCTGTTCCCTTACATTCAGAGCACGAGCTCATATATAAACAAACTGTCAACTGGCAATAACTAATCGCGTGCTAATACGCATTATTTAATCTGCTAATATATCACTAATTGTGATCAAGATATTTACAGGATCATAACAATACTTGTCCTTCAGAGAAGAACCTTGTCCTCAAGGCTGAAGTTTGAAAAGCTGAGAATTTGGATGTGAACTCATGAATCCACCCAAGTAGCTGCTTCTGTTGTCCGGCCGAGCCACTGCACCAAAATTTGAACTCCAGCAACATTTTCTTGCTTATAAATTCTTTTGTCCAACGCTGCTTCTGTTGTCTGGCTAGACCTTCCTCTGTGCTCACTAGCAGGGTGGTGGAAGGAGCAAATTGGAACCTAAGTGCAAAACATAGGACCACCAAATACGATGCACAAGACCTATTGAACCAGTGAACCAAAGGACTTGCAGCACCACCCTTGTGAATGGACATGATCTGCAACTCCAACTGTATGGATAAGGAATGCCTAAAAATTTGGGTTCCATACCAAAGCAGATAAGCAACCGCGCCAATGTTATGCAAATATGCGTCTCTTCACTGCAGACTTGCAGGATCTCAGAGCAAGCATCACATGTAATACTGGCCAGCCTTTCTTCTGATCCACATGGTGATAGAGTACACTTGGATTGCTGCAAATTCTGCTCATATTTTCATGGCATGATTTTAACCTAGATTCCTTGTAAATCATTTCCCTTCTTCGCATAATTAGCAACAAACAAAGGTCTAGACAAAGTGATCTGAGTATGTAACTCAATAAGGCTGCACTCTTAAATAAAGTAGGAATGTCCATTGTATATGTAGCATTGAAGTGGTACCACGCGGCAGACTCCTCGCCATCACAATGCTCTATTACTTACAAAAGCCTCTGTCAACCAAATATATATCCATCCTCATCATCTATATTGGGATCACCTCCACCTTTTAACAATATTTGTTAAACCTCTGGGGCTCTGGGGCTCTGGGCTCCCACTATCAGCAGCAATGTGCAAAGAGTTGCTCCAACAACAAGATTATTTACTTTGGCACCAGCCTAAATCAATAATTCTGAGAGAACCAATGATCTCAAGTTCTAGCACCCCATTTGTTAGCAAAGGGGAAGAACATCTTCCCCAGCTGTTGGAAGTCTCTCTTGCCTGCTGCAAGCTTCCTGCACCAGCCACAAGCCTAGCCCTAAGTTTTCTATTCTCCTTCCTCTAATGTCTCCCTTCATCTACTTGAAAGATACCAAATCTACAGACCAAACCCCTTCCAACACGTCCCTTCACCCTCATGCCTAGGGAAGAAGAGATTCTTCCTTCTGTAGGAAACCATTCTTTCTGTTGCATAAACCTCTTCTTGACTACTGCAAGCCTTCCAGTAAGCTATAGACTTAATTAATATGAATTGTTGGATCACAAAAAAAAAAAAAAAAAATTGTAATCCAACCGTCTATATTTTAACGCGTATGCCAACAGTAACATTTGAAAATTTTTTGATTTTTTTAAGGCCTTAAAATCTAGACCATTGATATGAAAATTTAATGGTCCAAATTACGCCATGTCACCTAGCCTTTGGAAAGGGCTAAGTGCCCCCCCCCCCCCTCCTCTCCAGCCAGTGGGTCAGGCAATTCAGGCCTGGTGGTGTGTCCAGCTTCCCCTCGAGCCTAGTTGATTGCATAGGACCGGAGCAATTTTTAGTTTTTTTGGGGGGGGTTGGGGTTGGGGCATTGGGTTGCCTAGGGGTGGAGTTGCTCTAAGAGGGATATCATATCATGTTGGGCGTACTGATTAGTGATACTACTTATTTTCTTTGTGCTTTTTTGAAATGAAGGCGGGTTTATTGCATTGCAAAGCTTCAACAGATATATACATTCATAAGGATCCGAATTGCGGTTTGCTGAATTTAGATACACCGTAGCTCTAACTTCGATCTTGACATACGATCCTTCCACTTTCTCGACCAAGGAATTAAACTCCGTTGATGATGACCGTGCCTGTTCCACAACGATAAAACTAAAATCAGAATATTTGGATACCTGATCAACCACATACCCATAAGCAACTAATCAAACTACCAAACCTAATTAACATGAGATTGCAGTGATGTAAACATAGAAGATAGCAGTGAGCTAGTAATGTAAGCATGCTTTAGCAGCAGGTGCAAAGCAATTAGTGGCACTTTTGTTTCTACTTTGCATCGGTTTGAATAGTAACACACTGCACTCGAGTCCAAATGCATCAAATACGCTTTAGGGGACCAGCGACAGAATATATTTCTTCGTTGATGATTAGTGATGCAGAGATGTCCGCAGACTTGTATTACATCGTGATCTCTAAAACTACTATTTGCAACTCCCTATTGTTTTCTCGTATATGACTTGAATTATTGAGGTAATTCCATACCTAACACAACATGATTTCTTCTTCAGTTCTTGTACTTCAAGGTTTCTTTCTCAAACCCAATTGTAGGGAATTGCTTAGCATACTCCTCAACATCATGGCGGAGCTTTGCAGTCTCAGATTGAAAGTGAGGGGCAGACAATGCGGTCACGAAGTCCTTCAACTTTGTTCCTGGTTTACAGAAAGGAACGAAATGCAATTCCATATTAGCCAATGCAAGCACTAGGATTACCTAGATACCACTTGTACATGAAAGGCAACTAGAAAAACAAAAGCTTGGCGAGCATGAAATTTAGGATATTGAAGATTTTTAGGAACCTTTAGCTTCTCCTTTGATCTTCAATGCCAAATTCACAGCAGCATCAAAAAAGTCTGCAACCTTAGCGAAATCCTCCTCAACAAATCCCCTAGAAGTAAGAGCCGGGGTTCCTGAAAAAAGAATCACTAAGGTTACTGAAAATCTAAGAAACAAAAGAGAAACTAAAACCATGAGAAGCCTTTACCCATCCTGATGCCACCCGGGACCATTGCAGAGACATCTCCAGGAACAGTGTTTTTGTTGGCTGCAATGTGAACAGCCTCCAACACCTTTTCAACCCTGGAGCCGTCAATTCCCTGAAAAATTAGATTTCAAGAAATAGAAAACAATATCAGTACATCATTGGCAATAGAGAAAATTATATGCTAATGCTATTACACGAGTCAACAGCTCATATGCATGTACTAAATGGTATCAACCCCACATTAACTGGAATTTGATGATTCCATAAACAAAATTACAGAAAAGAAAAAAACGTCTGCTACCTTGTTCTTCAAATTCACCAAAACTAAATGGTTCTCGGTTCCACCAGAAACAAGTTCATAGCCTTTCTCAGCCAAAGACTGCATACTTGCCAATTTAGCTATTAGAATGC